AGAAAGCCACCAACATAAGGCAGAGGAGAAATTCTTAAGCCTGCAGTGGGATTTTTTCCTCTGGAGGGAGCATCTCAGCTTCACGTCCCTTGTCGGAGGGAAGGATGGGATGTGCATTGCCAGGGTCAGGTGGACCATGCCGGGGGCTGCTGCATGGAGAGGTGGTGGCTCTTGCAGTGAGGAGTTTTTAGAGACACCAGAGCTGTGTCCTTGTATTTGTACACTCAAAAACTCAGTAATACCAGAATCAGGCTTTACCAGGAAATTACCAAGGCGTGTGGTAGAGAAACTAAAGCACTTGGGTAAGGTTTTTGTTTTCCTTTTTATTTGGTTGCATTTCTTTTTATTACCTTCTGGAAGTCTCACAACTTTTAACAAGGTTTCAAAAAAATTGACAATCCCCTATGCTGTACACGGGGAACTGAAGTGTAGAAGGGGGTCAAGCAACGCCCGTGTTGGGACGCATCCAACCACAGATGCTCAGAGCTTGTCTGTCTTTCCACGATTCACATTTATATTCAGAACAGGCTCCTACTGGCTTCAGCTGTGGCTGCACATTAACCCTTCCTACGCAGCAGATCGCAGGGGATTCCCATCTCCCATGCTCCTTGAAGCAAGTTGGTTAATGTGATCCACCTACAGCGTGCAGGATCTGCGCGGAATAGGTGGCCAAAACCCCCACTCCTCAATGTGCTTCGCCGTGACTGTTGGCACCCCTCCGTCCCCATCTGCAACGCACCCACCAACCTTTGCAACTGATCATAGACCGTGTAAAATAAAATATTTTCATCCCCTTTACATCTGGCTGCATGGCAGATGTGCAGATTATACTGCACTGGTCCGGAAAAACACTTCAGATAGTTGATACAGAGCCAAAATACACATGGAGACAAGTAAGCTGCCAGTTATAATATATTTTCACCTGCAGCTTCCTTCGTCAAGCAACTCAAGCACTGTTCTATCAGCACTAAAAACCAGACAGCTTGAGGCTCTGCTGCCATTTTACAGTTTCTTCGAAGCAAAGATGCTGTTGTGGAGAATCCCCAGCTCAGAGGCGGGGATAGAGAAAAAAAATAATCATTTACCCATCACCACGCGTGCCTGTAACCAGCACCAGCTTTACACATCCTCCAGGCCCTGCTCCAGAATTCAGGACTGGAAAAGGATCAGAAAGACGTGAAACAGCAGATTAGAAATGAGCCTGTTTTTCATAAAAGCTCATAGCTGCAGTACAACAGCAGCGTAGCCCTGACCAAGCAAGGGTTTGTTCATTTTTGTGTGAGGAGGGGAAGGATGAGGGCATTGCGCATTCACCTTTCGTTCCCCACTCTGATGTAGCCTTTGGGCTCTCTAAGACAGTTGAGAGAGAAGAAAATTTGGGACAAACATCACAGGGTGAGGCCAGGGCATGGCTGATCTCCGTGGTGCGTTACTGTGACTGGGTGGTCCAAATCCCTGAAGACCCATCCCATTAATGCATCAACTCTTTCCGATGGGGGTATGCGCTCCTTTCCCTTTCCAAGGCCGCTTGTTAGGTTCGGGTGGTTGCCTTAATCTGCAATCCATGGGCTCACAGAACCAGAGAACAAGAAGCGTTGCAATGCTATGCTGATACCAAGGAATAGACCGCCAGTAGGGTTCCACTTCACCACCCTACCCCAGCACTGCAGTCCCGTCCCTGTTATGTTGCTTCATGTATCACATATAGGTACCTGCCCCACATTCCCAAATTTTTCGTATCTGCCTGGTGAGAAATCTTGGGTCTATTAGTCCCTATGCTATACTAAAATATAGGGAATATTGAACAAAAGGGGATCCTCGAGGAGAAAATATTGCATAAAATCGTCGTCTCCGTTATTTCCAGAATTAAATCCCAAACCATATTTTTCTTATGGAAAATGGAAGATGGAGCAGCCCTTCTGGTGATGAGTCACCTAATTGATGGCCTGAGCACAGAACAAGGCAGGAAAAAGACAACAGGACCTTTAATTCAAATATATGCTATAAGGAAGGTTTCTGCTTCTTAGCATTTATTGGCATAGTCAAAGATTTATCCCTAGTAAATCCCAGTTCTTCATAGCGCTCTTCAAAACCAAAAGGTTCTCAAAGCATTTTTATATCCCAAGGCAAACTGGGGAGCAGAGGCCCAGCCGAGCTGCGGTGGTGCCAGATGAAGCCAGCACAAAGCACCTGGTGCTATCACCAGGTCAATACAACATCAGTATTTATTTTCCAATTTATTTATCGGTATCAGACACGTTCCATCCACTGTGCATCAAACAAGGATGAAACCAAGCGACAGCAATGATATGATGCTCATATAAATCAGAGCTGCTCAGTCGTTACCTCACCCTTGAGCGCCCAGTTGCGCATTCACCATCGTGGCCTTTTAACATTCTTTCTGCATCTGGTTTTCTGTATAATGATTGAAAATAAAACATCGCCACCCACCTCCCAGCTGGCAGCAGAGCCACGATGTGCAGGTCCCCTCCAGACACGGTCCTCCAGCTGACGGTCTCTTTTCTGTTTTCCTTTTCCCCTCAGGTCCCAGTTCCCCACCCTGAGCCACCACCAAACCTTCTCCTTGCTTTACTCCTTTCCACACCTTTGGCCCAGCTGTTGAGCCAGGTCCCTGACACCCAGCAACAAAAACAAGACAAAAAATCTCTCCCCAAACATCTCCATCCCCAAACTGCAGCCTACTTAACCAATTTATTGCCTCTGATCCTCATGGAGAGAGCCAGCTCAGGGGCAGGTGATAAGGAGCATCTGTGGACAACTTGGTACCTCCCTGATAAATTGGGTGCACCCTTAGTAAGTCTGGAGAGGACACCGAGCTGGGTGGGAGTGTGGATCTGCTGGAGGGGAGGAGGGCTCTGCAGAGGGACCTGGCCAGGCTAGATCCATGGTCTGAGGCCAATGGTGTGAGGTTCAACAAGGCCAAGGGCTGGTCCTGCCCTGGGGTCACAACAACCCCACGCAACGTTACAGGCATGGGGAAGAGGGGCTGGAAAACTGCATGGCAGAAAAGGACCTGGGGGTGTTGGTTGACAGGCGGCTGGATATGAGCCAGCAGTGTGCCCAGGTGGCCAAGAGGGCCAGCAGCATCCTGGCTTGTATCAGGACTGGTGTGGCCAGGAAGAGCAGGGCAGTGACCGTGCCCCTGTGCTGGGCACTTGTGAGGCTGCCCCTGGAATGCTGGGTTCAGGGTTGGGCCCCTGACTCCCAGAAGGACCTGGAGGGGCTGGGGCGGGGGCAGAGGAGGGGCAGGGAG